ATCGATTGAACGGCAATGGCGTCAATCGTAGAAACGCCCGCAGACTTTTCGACTCACAGGTAATAACAAAGTCCAGTTTATATTGGAGCCTCGAGTCTGTTCGTCTTATTGCATAGGTTGTAGTTGACTATATATTTCAGTTAATTTTTATTTTTCCATTGTTTTTGGGTATGGTAATGTATGCTAATGAATTTAAAACAAAGGAAAAACAAAAATTAACTGTAACATATATCTAGCCGATTATTGAAAACCATCCTTATGAAATTTGCAGTCATTTGAGTGAAAATGGGTCACAAAAGGCTGAGGTTTTTTGCTCCCGAGAAGCTCGAAAATCACATTAACGAAGGAAGGTCGAGCAAAGGAGAAAAAGACAGAGCTTAGTTTTCATAATGGCTACCCTGGCCGAAAGAAAACTGTTTGACGTAACAGAATAAAGCATACAATATAATGAAGAATATTCGCTGTGTTTGACATATATCTCATATATACCTATTTTTCGTTTTCTGTGTAGTACGTTACTTTTTCTTGAAACTGATGAGTTTCAGGGCAGGTGGGCCATAATAGGATCATAACGAAGGACTTTATCGAAAGTTAGATTGAGTTAAAAAGTGGCAGACACGTTTTTAAAACTAGAAATTCTTCTGTTAAGGGGGCCGTGTCACGGTTGTTTAGTTCATTTTATTTATAATGCCATTTATGAGCCCTTCTTCGCTTTGAAATTTGGGAAATAACCATAACGGTCGATGACAAAATCACAGCTTTTTGTCAAAGCAAAACATGTCTCCTAAACTTTATATCAATCGTTACAAACAACAAAAATGAGCTTTGGAAAACTGTTAGGCTAATAAAGCCACAATTGCAATCTGTTTCAATCTTCCTTAAGTTCATCCATCCGTGCTTCCTTTTGTATCAGCTGTGTTAATTATTTATACGTTCTTCTCACTTTTCGAGCTGTTATTTTAAAGTTTCACTTAATTTGGTGGCAGTTCCCACTGACTGGATTTTGATCAATTTCGTGGCACAGCTCCTTTAAATGTCATTGAGTAGCTATTGGGTCGTCTTAATTACTACCAATGATCATTGTTTTTAGAATAACGGCAAGGCAGGGTATAATGTTGGGGACAGCATGGACCATTATGATGGTAACCGTGGAGACAATATTTCAGAATTCCGACAACTACCAATGGTAAGAATGAGTTTAGGACAATGTATAACGTATCTTTATGAGAAAACAAAGAATTAATAAATGTAGTCAATTGAATTGTGATAAAAGAACTTGTCTCCGTCATTAAATTAGTAGATTAATAATAATAATAATAATAATAATAATAATAATAATAATAATATCTACTTCGAAAAAGAACAGAGTTTATTCTGATGTACACAACACGTGCCGGGACAAATTACGTCATCTAATTGCACATTACAACCAATCATAACAGTAGAAATTAAAAGCAAAATGGTTGCTTGATTTTAACTAATAAAGTCTATTGAGAAAGACAAACAGGTGTGCCTAGACTAGACTTAGATAAGCGCAAAAGTGTTATTAACTTAATGTTTATGGTTTTACAGAGTTTTGTGATATCAAAACTAAACCTTTTTATATTACCAGGAGTTCTACATGAGTGGATGCGACGAAAAAGCCAAAACCGAGGTGGAAATCATGTGGACAAATCAACACGGGACAGGACCAAAAACGGACGACAGGGTGGAGTCACAAGTCATATTACAGTACATGTGTCAACCGTACCCTAAGGGAAAGATGGCTTCAGATGATGTGAACACAGAGTTTGAATATCACACTATTCGTAATGGCCAAGAAAGAAACACTCAAAATTTTAGGAACCGAAAGAGCGAGAATTCGTTTATCCGAAAAGACCTCGGACTCCATGAGCCTCTAAATTACTACCAAGCATACTTCCGCAGAGAACGAAATAAAGGTGAGAAAGAGCCCTGCATGAGTATGAAGTCCTTTGTTAGCCTCCTGTCGCTGTTTCCAAACTTGTAAACTTTTGTAAACGTAAGCATGTCAAACTACTTAATATTTGGAACCTAATTTTACAGGTTTGTTTACTGCTGACAGAAGACTGAGGCGTGATCAAGCAACTCGCACACGACAAAATTCACGAGGAACAAGGAGGGGCCTGGAGGTACCTGAGGAGCGTGATTACTATCCATACTGGGGCCCCACCCCGTGGAATGACATTGCCATCATGGTCAGCAATAATAAAACACTGGATTTAATGAAGAGATATATAGAAAGTCCTGAATATTGGCAGAAATGTGAGTTTAAATGCAACTGGTCATATTCCTTTAATCCGTGTTAATTACCGCAGGGTAGAAGATTCTTCATTCATAGTGCAAAATACCGTAAAATTCCGAAAACAAGCCCTTTCATGTATATGCCCCTCCAGATATAAGCCCCCCCCCCCCCCCCCCCAACTCTAAACCCAAAAAACCCCCCCCTCAACCTCCCCCCCCAAAAAAAACCCCCCCCGCGCCTGGACTTGTAAACTCCCCCCCAAAACAAAGCAAACAATAAACCAAAAAAGAAAAATTGCCCACAAACAAAAAGAATAAAAAAACTTGTAACGCAAAAAACCCTCCGTTAAATCGCCCCTCCAAATAAAAGCCCCCCGGGGGCTTGTACTTGGAAATTGCCCTCAAATACAACGTAAAATTAAGCAAAGACGGTAAATTTCCTTCCAACTATAAGGCTAGACCAATCGATTTTGAAACGCAAATTTCCCTCCAAAGATTAGCCCCTTCGAATATAAGCGCCTCCAAAAAAAAGCCCCACAAATAGGGTCTTTTGAAAAGTGTAAGCCGCGGGGCTTATTTTCGGAATTTTACGGTAAATCGTTATGGTCACAAAAGATGAATAATGGCATATTTTTTCCTGAGATGGTGTCGTGATTTGGAGAGACGGGCAGAACGTCAAATCCTCTTCAACAATTCTTAGGAGTTGTAACCCTTCATAGGGGGATCTACGCTTGTGATAGCTCATATCACTATACATGTCATACGTTAATTTTTCACTGTCCCTATATCATAACTACTAGAAATGCAAAAGGGTAAATTCAGCTAGTTGTACACTTATGAGCGAAAAGAACAGCACCCTCTCAGTTAGTATATATGCCGTTTTGACCAAGCCTGAGACGGGTCAAATTAAGACATATCCGTTTATTATTGACCAAGCTAGAGGTCAAGATGGCTAATTATTAGACAAGTTCTTTTTTGCGTTTTTATTGGCCGAGAAAAAGTCGAGGTCAATAAGAACCCAAAAAAGAACAAGACCAAAATACAGCGACCTTGACTAAACAAGCTTGGTCAATAAAGGATGTTTTACATAGTCAAAAGAGAACTTTTCTTGCGGCACCAACGCTGGTAGCCAATCAGAACGCAGGATTCGGTTCATCTTGCCCGCTCGCGGATTCAGCCGAATTAAAAGGATGTTTATTGGCCAAGTTCTTTTTTGGCGCTTTTAAGACCGAGAAGAAAAGTCAAAATCAATATCAATATCAAGGCCATCCTGGTCAACAAAGAATTAATTAACTGGCCCAAAAGACATTTGTTCTTGCGGGACAGAAAGCGGGCACGATATACCCATCTTTCCCTCTCAGCTAGCCAATCAGATTGCAGTATTCGCTATATTTCATCGCGCGCTCGAGGGACCATCCGCATAATTAGTATTGTACCTTTTTGTTCTTTTTCTGTTTTTAGACATGTGCATTATGCCAACCAGATCACGAGGGAATCAAATTTGTCCCAATGACCTCAGTAATAGTCCTGCTAAAAAGTGCGTTGCTAAGCACATAACGGCAGAATCGTGTCAAGCTGTCCGTGGCCGGGAATGGAAAAAATTCATCACAAACTTCATTGAGAAAAACGCCGAAAATTTAACCAGGTGTCTTGGCCAGGGAGACATTAGGCTGGTAAAAGGGGTACCGTATGAACCACACAAACTTTCACAAGGCTCTGATCAAGAGGAACAGTTTGTTCTGCTCCAGAAAACACCAGAAGTGATCTTTGTTCCTTCCACTGTTGTGAACCACAACGGAATGAACATGGAAGGCAAGTTTTCATCATTCAAATGGAAGGTGCCTTTTTTTCCCTCTAACGTAACCCAAAGATGCGTGTTACGTATAAGGTAAGGCAATGAACTTTAATTATGCACCCATCTCTTTGCCACTAAAGACCAACCCAGTTTTGAAGAACTGACTAGTATTATCAAATTAAGCAATATGTCTGACATGAGAGACGGGTGTTTTCAATACGCTCAATCCAACCACCAAATAATGGGTTGTAAAATAACAGGGGCAGCCTCTGTCAACATCACATCCAAATACTAGATAGAAGACTCAAACATCCCTGTTTGTTACGTTTTGCTTTTTTGACCAGTTATGCAAGCTTTTTAAGCTCTCATAATAAAACATCACCGTAAAATTCCAGGGCAAAATGGGTGGGTAGGTAAACGCGGGGTAGGGGTCTATCTTTTTTTATAGAATGCTGATTTAAGGTTAGGGTTAGGTTAGGGTTAGGATTAGTGTCAACGTTAACCCTAACCCTAAAACAGCATTCTGTGAAAAAAGATCGACCCCGACACCGCGTTTTACTGACACTCGGGCAAAATTTATGTACGTGAACAGGTTCATCAGGTAGGTCAGTGTCTTGTGTCCTCATCCCCACTTCTAATCAAGGTGGTTCCTCGCTTCTTCGCATGTTATGATCAAGTTCCTTAAGTTGTTTTGCGTTCGCTTTCGATTATTTTTAGACTAACAGGGATCTTTTACTCAATTTTGACTCAGATACAATATTACCAGTACTGACGTTCCACGTGAGTTTAGTGCCAAAGACAATGAAAAGTAAGTACTTCGTCAAGGCTTCTACATACCCTTAAGACCAGGTTTTTCCTCTTTACCGTGTAGACTTCATTTGATGTTTTAAACTTCACTGGGTAACTTGAGGAATTCAAAATTTCTCCCCATCCCATGTACATACCGGGTACAAAATACCGGGTACTTTTTTATCACTACAGATTGAAGAATGATCCAACAACAGTGGCTGTGGATGGTAACACGACCCTCCAACTCGCCTTAAACACAGCCCAGGTCGGCAGAACATTCCAAGACAGAACTCATGTGATCTTACTAAAGCCACGAACGCTTCTTCCTGCGAAGTACCAGAATTCCAAAATTTTCTACATCGGGGGAATGGGAAAGAGAGGCAACATTGTGCAAACCTATCCAGCGATGGAATATCGCTTCACTCCCGAGCGAATTTCAGTGACAACCGACGATGTACTTTGTTTTGCTTGGTCAGGTGAGTTAACTTGAAACAATGAGTCTATTTGCAATGTGGCCAATAAACAGCTTAGATGGGTTTTTTTTGTCTCCCTAAGGTTCAAACAACAACAGAAGGAACCAAGCTGGTGAAGGGAAAGATCGTGAGTATAATATTATATTTCTCTTTGCACATCCGTCCATCTTTCGCAGGGTTACTAAATTAATAAAGCTTTTCCAAAAGAGATCAATGGAAACTCCTCATTCAAGATATTTATGTCAGTAAGACAAATTGACGAAAATAATAGCCTTTCGATCCTCAAAGTGCTACTGTTAAATGCAATCTGCTACATGCATAACACAGATCTCCTCCTTCCCACTCAAAGTTGTCACACCAAGGTTTTTAAATGCCTCGCGTCACTAGCAACTTTGATAATGGGGCAGGGAGGGGGCGTGGTTTATTTAACACTAATTTTTCCAAGAAAAGTAACTTAAACCTACAACGTTTGTGTAAGACTAATGTCAGCGACTAAACTCATTTCAGGCACTGATCGCACCAACGTATGCTGGGTAAAGGAAGGATGTAGTTCTCTCAAACCCGAAAATTGTTCCAGCTTGCCTCTTGAAGTCGTTGATCACGTAGACGAATTTGATGCCAACAAGTTGAATCTACACCTCAACAAAGGGTGTTACACCGGTGACAATTTACAGGCTCAGCTTGACAACGCGCCAGCCTCCTGTAATCCACCGTGTTTCCGCATCACGAAG